CTATCAAATTATAAATTTAAAAATAAGGGTTCCCATTTAAGAAAATTATAAATAAGGGTTTTTATCCCTGAAGGAAACAAAAAAAATGATGATTTAACTACATATTATTGTAGAGTTTTTTGAACTTGATATTTTTTCTCTATAATAAAATTTAAAATTCTCAATATTTTCTGAGAAAATAAATGACTTACCAGATTTCGATCACTCTGTATATCAACTAAAATTGTTATACATGTTGTTTAGTAAATAAGGTAACAGGTAAATTGTTACAAAAAAAAAAAAAGAACAATAGAAACCCGTATCCTTTTTTATTAAATACCTTACATAAATTTTCTTAATATTTTCATAGCACTATTTATGACAAAAATCATGAGACAGTCCTTGTAATTCACCACTTCCATTAATTGGGTGAGTTTTCCTCTTCTTTCCACTTAATTTTGCCGTTCTTTTGCACAACTGATCCTAAATACTTAAAACTTTCCACCTTTCCTATTATGTTCTCGCTTATTGTCACTGATCTCCTCATTTCACCTACCTCTTGTTCTCCTTAGTTAAACTCATACTTAATAAACTCTGTCTTACACCTACTTATTCTTAATCTCTTTATTTTATGAACTGATCTCCTGACCTGCAGTTTTTGTTTAATTTATTCTCTATTTGTTTCTATTAACTCTATATTATTAACGAAAAACATGCACCACGTTATCTCTTCTTGTATTTCCCTAGTAATTTCATTCATCATTATAAAATATAAGTAAAGACTTAAAGTAGAACCTTAGTGAATTTCTATTCTTATTCTAAAATTTTCTGTTACTCCTCCTACAATTTTTATCCTGGTACAAATGCTATTATATATATTCTCATTTCATTAATGTTATATAATGTAATGGGATTTCTTTTCTCATTAATACCCATTTCAAAACCTCTCTTGGTACTTTATCATGCTATTTTCCAAATTTATTAATACTATGCACAGCTTTTTCTTCTTCGCCTTATAATATTCTATTAATTTTACAAGCTATTATTTTATCAATGCTATTCCAGAAAAAAACCAAACAAGTTCTTTGTTACTGAAGTTTCTTCTCTCATTATTTGGTCTATTACCTTGTCCCAAATCTTCATACTATACCTCATAATCTCCTTTCCTTTAAATATCGGCACCACGATACTATTCTTCCATTCTTTTGGTATTTTCCTTTCTAATAAGATTTTATTAAAAAGATCCTTTAACTACCTTAAGCCAACATTACCTAATATTTTCCATATTTTTACTGACATTTCATTTGGTTCTACTGTTTTTTATGATACATTCCCCAATGTTCTTTCTTTTACCATCATTAAATTGTGTTATTTCTTTTCACATTTTCAATTTCCACCACCTCATCATCGATTTGCCTCCTGTGTTCTTTCTGTTTTTGTATTCTTTGTTTCTACTACACCAAAACCCAATGACTTACAGTCTATTTAGTGCAGTTACACTCTCGCCAAGGATAACTTTTCAATCATATCTTCTACTCTCATTATCAACATATCTATTCATATTACCGCATCCTCATTACTATGTATTCCTTGCATCACCTCATTTATCTCTCTTCAAAATACTTTATTGTCAATTTCATCACATCCTACTTATGATACATAGGCACTTACTACATTCAACACTTTTTCTTCGAAAACTAATTTTACAGCTATAATTCTGTCACTTTTTCTAATTATTTCTAGTACTTTACTTTTCATCTTATCATCTATTATTATCCCTACATCATTCTATGTATTGATCTTACTTGAGTATTTAACTTAATAACCCTCGCTTATTTTCCTTGCTTTCTCTCACCTCTACTTAGTTTCCTATCCAAAACAAACGTTAACTTTTTTCCTCTACTAATATTCTTCTTTTACCATTAAATGTACCAACATTCCACGTACCTATACTTACTTAGTATCTACCTTTCTCTCTTATACACGAGTGCATCCTAGAATAAAGTGATGATGTCTTGCACCACTAACACTACAAGAGCAGTCCCTAGTCACTTCTATGACTGGTAAAGGAGCCATAGAAGTATTCTTATCCCCTATCCACAGGGATAAAGAATTGTCCAAAGATAAGTTATAACATTTTAGAATATGCAAATTTTCATTTTTACGCTCCCTCTTATAGGCAGAAAAAGAGTAAAATTTAAAAAAAAATATAACAAATGAAAGGAATATGTCTAAAAGAATGAGTCTTCCAACCGTAAGAAAATCTTTATGATTCATACATGATTTAAAAATAAAATGATAAATTTTAACAAGTATAGTAATAAAGTAAACTTTACATTTAACAGTTAAATAAAAATAAAAATTTTTATATTATAAATAAGTATGCCTAATATACTCCGTTAAAACTTACACTTGATAAAATACATTTGGTTTTTAAAATAAAACTTAATAGACTGTAAAAACTTTTCAATAACTATAAATCACTTAGAAATAATTAATCATGACAAAAAGTCATTATCTTCCTTTAATATTTATTGTATAGATTATATAACAATAATAATAATAATAAAGCATTTAGGGATAATTGAATTATGAAATAGAAAACGAAATCATACTTATTATTTAAATTATTATTAATTCATTTTATTATTTCTAATTTATCAATTTTCAAAAAAATTTTAATTAAATAATTTGAATTGCACAGTACACATATTCTGTAGTTATAAAAATACTACCCCCATATTTTTCGTTAAAAAATGATTTTTCCAGATAACTTCCTGAATAAAGTTTTATTAATTTTAATAAACCATAAATATTAAATTTATCTTAAAAACATATGTATGAAGGTAGTTTTTAGGGTTAACTTCTGTAAGATAAATGTACACCTATGATATTCTGACACTATTTGATAGAGAACGGACTAAATAAAATTTAGACCAGTCGATAATCTGTTTTGTATAATTACTTTTAGAGATATTTGTGTTCAGTGGCATACTATATTCACAATAACTTATAAATAAAAATGATATAACGTCGTGCACTTTTCTCATTAATACCTACAATAATTTCATTCAAACAATCATATGAAAAAATGATTATTAAAAAAAAAAAAACGAACTAAAATTATTAATAGTTAATACTAGTAAGAAATCTTTTCAAAATGATCATGATAATTTAAAATATAATTACTGTTTTATATCTATCATTGTAACTATAATCCTAAATAAAGACAACTGAGTTTGAATCATTTTGTAACTTTTATGTTATTAAATTATGGTCGTCAAGAAAAATAGAATGGTTGATTCAATAATTTTAATTTTTAATAATTTTAAATAAATTAGTTATAAGTTAAATCAAATTTTTTTGCATAATTTTTTTAAGTCTTTGAACAAAAAAACAAGATTTTTAATTGAATTCACCATTTGCACTTTTGAGAATAATTAGAATAATTCATTTTCGAAATATTGCACTAAGAAAAATAATAAACTCAAATTTATCGTCATTTGTATCCAGTCATACTCTCGACGCTCGATGCATATTAGTTGCATCTCAAAGACAGATAAAACCAAATTTTATATACAAATATATCGATTCCCGATAGTCCTTAAACGTTAACGAAATCTTATTGTAACTTATGAAGGTTTACACTAAACTCATCCCTTTGTTGAGTGCTATGAGGTACAATTTCAGTATCAGTAGTTCTCAACATCATAAAAAATATTTGTACAGTTCAAAATAATCAGGATTTTATTTTACAAACAAATAAAAAAATATTTAAAACAAAAATTTATCACTGTAACTAAATACATCCAATTATATTAGGCTCGTATTTAAAACTAAAACCGTCAGAACAGATTATGTATTTATTAATCTGATAATGTCAAGTTACGATTATTGTATAATTATTTAATAAAAATTATTACAATAAAATATAGACATCTAGTGCATCCGCTTCTAGAGATTGATAAATTAAAAATTAATATTTATTGCAAAATTGGCAATTTTCCGAATTACTATTTAAACTCAAAAGACCTGGCCATCGGGGTCAGTCTACTCCAGTGTTTTGTGTCATTCATCAGTCTCCGTTCTCGGTTGTCGCTGTCCGGCTTACTGCATAAAGTCAAATCTTTGATTTTCCTTTTTCACTTATCTACTCTCGTCCTCGACATTTCAGAGTACATGTATCTTGCACTCCGTCTGCACCTCATACCTAGGTGATACCCTTATTCCCTTCCTATAACAATGGCCTTTTGATTCCCACAGCTAATCCGGAGTGACAGCCGAGGATGGTAACTGCTGTATGTTCACACGTGCGTGAACATACAGGCAGCTGACTCAATATCATCTTCGTTCACAATAAACACAACTGTACCCCCTTTCCGATTAGATTTAGTTAGAGTTTTGTTTTGTGCTACGACAATAATAAAGGCAAAATTAATAAATGTTTAAATTCTTTATGAGTATTGGAAACTGAAATGTTTACAGTTTATACAATATATATTATATCTATTAAGTTCTTCGATTTACGTATTTTATTCGACTTGATGGAAAAATTATTACCGACCCAAAAGTGAAAATGATTTTATGCACTGTAAGATTTCAATTCATATTAGACCAATTATACTAGATCCCAAATCTATTGTTTTTTTATTTTATTTAGAAGTATAAGTAATTGAAGAAATAATAAAATTGTCAATATACGTAACTGATAAGGGTCGTATACTTGAATATAATTTTATTAGAGAATTTAAAATGCATAGATTTTTGTATTTTTGTAATTATAATGAAAATGTGTTATGAATTTTTCCTTAGGATATTTATGAATTATAATAAATCACAATTGTCATATTGAAACTAGAAAATTTGAAATAATAGTTATTTTAGATTAAATATCATGTAATACAAAGCAAGAAGATTTTAAATTAAATGAAAACTTAAAATAATTGAAATAAATATTATTTTAAGATACTTGTCCATTTTTCCAATAAATTTCATTATATCTAAAATATGATTTAAACAAGTGTTTTGGATTCTATTTTCAATACACTAAAATTAATTCATTTATTTACTCTATAGCAATATAAAAGGGGTCATTAGTATTCGTTTTTTATTACAGTTACTTACCTTTTACTCAATACAGACAATTTAGTAGTCTATACCAAGTAAGTAATTTTTATTATAAATCTCTTAGAAATATTTTCGATTTCGAAAACACAATTACTAAAATACAATTTGGTTAAATATTACTGTTACTAAAATTATTAATTAACCGAATATAACTGAGTAAACAGAAATTTCACAGTTATGTAGTATTAGTTTTTTAAAGATATTAGCATTTAAGGTTGTTTAAAGGTGAGTGACAGGATAGATATACTCACGCTCCAATTGTATTACAGCGCGAAAAAGTAAATATCACTAAGTCGCTATTACAATATCTCTATAAACTTTGGCTCTAAATAAGTGCAATTATAATAATACATATTATTACATATAATAACAAAATTAATTGAAACCATTAACAAATATATATTTGATTTTTATATAATTTTGCAGAAAATTCAAAATGAAATACTTCAACATCATTTTTGTTTTGTGTTTTGTTATGTGCATCGTTTCCTTTTCGATTGTCTCAGCTTCATCTCTGCGTAAGATTAAAATAATTTAGACATAATTAAAAATTAAGAATTTACGAAAATAATTTAAAATGAAATTACGTGAAATATTTACACATAAACAATTGAAATTATTGTAGTTAGTAATTAACTTTATTCGTACATATGAATAATAATATATTTTAAGATTATTCTCCTAATATTGTACAAATATATTTTAAGCATTTATATACTATTTTTTTTTATAAAATTCTCACAATACAATAATTTTATAAATTTTTTTATTCTTTAAAAGTTTAAAAATTGGCACCTCCAAATCTAAGATTAGATGAAAATGCTAATACTTCAATAAAATATATTCTCACAGGTAACATTGAAAGTAAACCTTTGGTAAACGAAATGGATAGAGACGACGACGGCAGTACTGCTCTTNGAAAATGCTAATACTTCAATAAAATATATTCTCACAGGTAACATTGAAAGTAAACCTTTGGTAAACGAAATGGATAGAGACGGCGACGGCAGTACTGCTCTTGATGGTAATTATTTATTTTAATTCAATCAATTTCAAAAATAGCGTGATTATTATTTTAGCTATATCTCTGAATTCTCTTTCGTTTTTTATATTAAAAAATTTACTTTTCAAACCAATTTAAACATTATTTTGAAATAAATTTTTTGGTCTTATACTTTGCTTCAGAAATAAAAAGTTAATTTGTTAAATAGAAAGAATCGAATTTAAAATAATAAATTTATTTTATTAAAAAATTTGTCATTTATTTAAACTTTGTTTTTTTTTAGATGATGATCAAACTAAAGGTTCAGTNTTTGTCATTTATTTAAACTTTATTTTTTTTTTTTAGATGATGATCAAACTAAAGGTTCAGTTCCACTTTAAGAATTTTCAAATATATGATAAAACATTAATTCAATAAAATTATAATATTTTCAGTTAAAAATCAATTTATATAAATTTCATAATTAAAATTGTTATACATTTTATAATGATTTTGTTTCCAAAATAAAATTTCTCATAACAGTTTATCGCATTGATTTTATTTCTATTATCTGTAAAGACATGAATAGATAATCCTTAATTGTACTTAGTTAAATAAATTATGTTAAGTTAGTCCTATTAATATGAAGCATAAGAGAGCTTTAAAAAACTCAGTGTGGAAACAATAGAATTGTTTTATGCTAGATAATAATAATTGAGAGACAAAGAAGTTTTAAACTTTGTAACCAATAATATATAGATATTTCTTACTAATTTACCAATAATTCTTTATAAATAATGAATGATTTGAGCATATTTGTTCAATAAAATTTGTTATGACTAACAAATATTAGTAATGATCAATTTTATTTTATTAATGATTAAAGAGAATGAATATTGAAATTTTAATTGAATATTTATTATAACTAAAAAAAATAATGACTTCAAGGGGGTTCTAAATTGACACTGTGTTTATTTGGGATATCTTTTTCATCTAGCACTTTTTTCAATGCGAAGATGAGAAGGTATTCATTTAGAGCCTATTAGATAATTTTAATAAAATTATGTAACCAAAATCTGTATACTTGGATACCAATTGTGTGATATAATATCAAAAATAAAATTATTTCAATTTTTTAGGTAAGAGAGAGAATTATATAGTTAGTTTTATAGTTGGCATCACTTAGCCTACAACAAATATTATATTTGTAGAATTTCTTAAACTGTATTAAAATAAATAATTAACAAAATTAAATTATAACGAGCATATTTTTATTGTTCAAAAATTATTCACGACTGTAAAAAAATAAAAAAATAGGTTAGCTCCTACCATGGATTTCAATTGGTTGTTGTATTTAGAACTTACTAAAACTTAGTTAAAAATATAAAAAAAATTATTTTACAAAAATCGTATTTTTTTTTTGAAATGTGATATCTATTTTCACCACGATGACAAATCAGAGGTCAAATTTTTTTTTTATAATAAAGTATATTACATTAGCTTTAATTTAAGATATATATAAAAGTGTCAGACTTTCTGGAAGACTTTCAAAAGTTAAGTTCAAAAATTTAATTTTTGTATGCATTTTTTAGATTTTAAATCCCTTCGTATATAGGAAAATAGTCCTATTTAAAAAAACAGTATTTCGAATGAAAGATGTATATAAATACTACTTCTCATAAAAAAATTGTACTAATCCATACATTTTACAAGAAGTTATAGCATAATAAAGTTAAAAACCCAGCTCAGGGGGTTTGCGGTACAGTGGTGATGTGGCATTGTTGAATCAAGTATAATGATATCTGACAGTGATTAAAATCACTATCAAAAAAAACGCTTCGATGCAAATCTTTAGATAGTGTTTAATTTTAAAAAATTGGTGGATTATACCAAAAGCAACATGAACTGCTNTTGGTGGATTATACCAAAAGCAACATGATCTGATAGTTTGTTATTAATATCCTGATTCAGATAAAGTATGTCGAATGAAAAAGGAATTATTAAAAATTATTATTTCTCATAAAAAATTAAATATAAAGTTAAATATAATATAAAAAATAAAATCGAGATATTTCACACGAAAGTAGCATTCGGTAGCCATTTTCGCCGTGAAGATAAGTCTAGAGGTCAAATTTTTTTTTTTACATTAAAGTATATTACATAAGCTTTAATTTAAAATATATATAAAAGTGTCAGACTTTCTGGAACACTTTCAAAAGTTAAGTTGAAAAAGTTCTACTTTATATATGCATTTTTTATATTTGAAGCCCTCCCGTATATAATGAAATGGTCTGATTTAAAAAAAAAGTATGTCCAATGAAGGATGTATATAAATGCTATTTCTCATGAAAAAATTGTATTGATCCATACATTTTTTAAAAAGTTATAACTTAATAGTTAAAAATGTAAAATACAAAATAGAGAATTTTTTCGGAGGTTTCCCCCATTTAGAGAGAAATTTTTTTGAGGGTAACATAATGTTTTTAATAAATCAAAAAAAAAACATTGGGAAAGAATCACTAACAAATGGTTAAAGTAAAAAAGTACTTTAAAGTAAAAAATGTAAATTATAAAATCGAGAATTTTAACACGAAAATAGCATTCGGTAGCCATTTTCGCCGTGAAGATAATTCTAGAGGTCAAATTTATTTTTTTTTTAAATTAAAATTTATTACATAAGCTTTAATTTAAGATATATATAAAAGTGTCAGACCTTCCGGAACATTTTCATAAGTTAAGTTGAAAAATTAAATTTTTTGTGAAAAAGTTGTCTTTTTTAATCCTCCTCTATGGGCAGATAAAGGGTCAAATTTACGAAAAAAATATATCAAATGATAGATAAAGACATCAAGCATCTATAAAAAAAAATTATATTGATATGTTCATTTTTGAAAAAGTTATGGCACTTTTAAGTAAAAAAAATTGAAAAAATTTCGAAAATTAACGATTTTTAATTTGTAATTTTTTTTGAGGTTTCCCCCATTTACGGGGAACGAGGGAATTTTTTTCAATTTTTAAGGGTAATGTCTTCGACTAGATACGATTTGTGATCTTTTGACGTATCGTTAAAAGAAATCCGTTCAGTGAGAGCTGAGAAAAAGTGGTAACAGACACAAAAAAAACATATCATAGTAGAACCAATACCTTCTCAGCTTCGCATCGAAGCTGAAATATAAAATACAAAGTCGAGAATTTTCACAAAAAAATTGCACTCGGTAACCAATATAAATAAAATAAAATTATAATAAAATAAAAAAACCCAGCACAAGGGGGATACGGCACAGTAGTGACGTAGCATCGTTGAATCAAGTATAATGATATCTAATAGTGTTTAATAACCCTTCGATGCAAATCTTTAGATTTTTAAACACAATTGTGTTTAATTTTAAAAAATTGGTGGATTATTAAAATAGCTATATGATCTGTTATTTCCTTATTAATATCCTGATTATTTTACTTTTACTTTATTTTTCATAATAAAGTACATTACATTATCTGTAATTTAAGATGTATTTATAAGTGTCAGACCTTCCGAAAAATTTTCAAAAGTTGAGTTGAAAAAGTTAATTTTTTGTAAAAATTGACATTTTAAATCCCCTCTCTATGGGCAGGTAAAGGGACAGATTTATAAAAAAAATATACCAAATGATAAGAAAAGACATTATGCATCTATAAAAAAAATATTTGTATTGATTTGGCCATTTTTAAAAAAGTTATAACAATTTTATGTAAAAAAAAAATTGAAAAAATTTCGAAAATTAGCGATTTTTAATTTGTAATTTTTTTGGAGGTTTCCCCCATTTACGGGGAACGAGGGAATTTTTTTCAATTTTTAAGGATAATGTCTTCGACTAGATACGATTTGTGATCTTTTGACGTATCGCTAAAAGAAATCCGTTCAGTGAGAGCTGAGAAAAAGTGGTAACAGACACAAAAAAAACATATCATAGTAGAACCAATACCTTCTCAGCTTTGCATCGAAGCTGAAATATAAAATACAAAGTCGAGAATTTTCACAAAAAAATTGCACTCGGTAACCAATATAAATAAAATAAAATTATAATAAAATAAAAAAACCCAGCACAAGGGGGATACGGCACAGTAGTGACGTAGCATCGTTGAATCAAGTATAATGATATCTAATAGTGTTTAATAACCCTTCGATGCAAATCTTTAGATTTTTAAACACAATTGTGTTTAATTTTAAAAAATTGGTGGATTATTAAAATAGCTATATGATCTGTTATTTCCTTATTAATATCCTGATTATTTTACTTTTACTTTATTTTTCATAATAAAGTACATTACATTATCTGTAATTTAAGATGTATTTATAAGTGTCAGACCTTCCGAAAAATTTTCAAAAGTTGAGTTGAAAAAGTTAATTTTTTGTAAAAATTGACATTTTAAATCCCCTCTCTATGGGCAGGTAAAGGGACAGATTTATAAAAAAAATATACCAAATGATAAGAAAAGACATTATGCATCTATAAAAAAAATATTTGTATTGATTTGGCCATTTTTAAAAAAGTTATAACAATTTTATGTAAAAAAAAAAATTGAAAAAATTTCGAAAATTAGCGATTTTGAAAATCGTAATTTTTTGGGGAATTTTCAATTTTTACAAGATACGCGGTAAAATTTTTCAATTTTTGAAGATAATATACTCAACTAGATTTCATTTGTGATCATTTGCCGTATTATCGAGAAAATTGGTCCTATGAGAGCTGAGAAATGTAATAACAGACACAAATAAAAAAATAAACACATCATGGTAAAATTAATATCTTATCAATTTTGCGTTGAAGCTCAAAAAGAAAATTAAATTTATTGTTAAACAAAAAATTATATTAAAATGCTATTAAGAAATTTTTGTCAACTGTATTGGCATATGAAGAAAGAGGTATTAAGGGGACATACATATTTAACTATCGTATAAAACAGTAAATTAGCTTATTATGAAAATGTCAGGTCGATAAAAACTTTTAGACAAGTAGTAATGATGTTGTCCTCATTTTTATACTTAGAGGGAACAAATATTATGACCCGGAAATGTTTATTGATAAAAATAACAGCGTCCTCTCTTTATCTCCAGTCATCATTTTAAATTGTTAATAAATTTTTAAATTCTGGTTCAAAAGTTGTTCGAGTAATAATATTCTTAATTAGATTATTTCCTATTTCATATGTTTAATACGTATGTTGTAATTTAAAAAAAATTAATTTGACACCCTTTTAATTTATAAGTGATGGTTCTAAAAATTAATTGTTGGCTAATAAATAAAGAAATCATAAATAAAATAAGACGGTTAATTTATTGTTGGCCACTAAATTTTGTATTGCCAAAATAAGGTAATATAATATGTGATTATTATTTTTTTTTTATTACCTTGATGAAATTTTATATCATATTATTGAAGGGGTATAGGAACGAAATACAACTCTTGAGATAACAGTTGAGATTTATTTAATCTAACTTTTTAGATGTATGTATTCAAAAATTTGATCCATTTATTACTCAACTTATAGTCTCAATTACTTATAT